TAACTGCTACTTCATTAATTAAAGAAGCGCAGACAGTTTAGAGATCCATTTTGATTTATTCCATCACACCCCAAAGCCAAAAAATGGTGAAATTTATTCCATTTTGATTTATTCCATCTCTTCTTTTAATAACATTCNCCTTTGCTTAAAAGCTTTGTAGAAGGGGATGATGCTTATAGGAATTCAAGGTTCAAACTTATACCTTTCATATCCAAGGTTTGTAATCTTTTTACTACGTCGGTATGAGAAGTTAAATCCTCCCTCCCTCCCTCCCTCTGTTCCCAAACATCAATCCCTTAAGGTTATTTATTTTGTCTAAATTGACCCCTCTGGCCCTCTACCGCTATTAATACTTTTGAATTTTCAGGGACCGTGGATAGTCAAACAGAGTGTTGGGCGGAAAGCATGCCTTATAGGGCAAGCGTTAGAGGTAAATTATTTCCGAGGGAAGAACTACTTGGAGGTATGCGCCATTATAGTTCATGTTTTTTTAAATTTGGAATAAATTACTATATTGATATACTACGTAGTAATTAGCGAAGTGACTATATTGTTCCACACATGATATATAGTATGCTCAAGTAGCTTATTCCGGTTAGTTTTGATTTTGAGATCAACACATTTTACTTTTACAAATTCAGCTTGGAGTAGATGTTGGGTCGTCGACGGTGGCAAGAGGTGTGGTTGGCCTTGTTCTTGGCTGCCTAAATAGTCTTGTCATTGAAATGGCATTTCTCATTCAGGTAGAAACTGGAAATGTCTTTCTTTTTTTCCTTTAGTGAAAAAAAAAATCTCATCAATTGATGTGATAGTCTATAGTCTAGTCTAGTATGAAGACAACATGAATTTGGGTTTGAACAGGCCAACACAACAGATGAGCTTCCAGAATGTCTCATCGGAACCTGCCGTCTAAACCATCTAGATGCTTCTAAAGCTGCTCTCTTGAACCATTGACAAAATGCATCATATTAAATTCATTGGATTGGATTGGATTGGATTTCCCTCCAATTGCATTCAAGTAAAGCTGCACAGAAGAAGACACAGAAACCACAGAGCATTTCAACATGTGGGTATTGCCATATATATATATATATATATATATATATATATATATATATATATATATATATATATCGGTGGGGTTCTAGTGACACCGGAGTACGGTGCCACTAGCGGTGCCACTGGCATTTTGGGGGTGCCACCGTATATATATATATATATATATATATATATATATATATATATATATATATATATATATATATATATATATATATATATATTGTAAATTGTTGTGAATACACATTTCTTGTACTGGTCTCGGGAGTTAGAGATTTCACAGATTATGAAAGACTGAAAAAATTAATATAAATTTTAAAATCTTTTTTTAAATACGGAGTATAGAAATGAGACAATGAAGCTTTGAAGGGGTTGGCAGAATGGAAATGAGAATCACGTGGAAAACTACTGCCCTATCATTTATTGGTCTCTACTTGTGCTCCTTCTGACTCTTTTGACAGAACGTTTAGTTTTTTTTTATATCTTTATTATAGAAAACTTGACATATCAGTTTTTGTTTTTTTGTTTTTAATAACTGACAAAGTGGGAGGGGAGATACATGCACCAAAACGTTTCACATTTATATTTGGTGATGAAGTGTGGCATTAATTGGTGCACATGAGATACATGTGTTGGAGTGTAGGGTAGGCCTTATTGATAATGCACAAACAAAAAAAGAAGAGTAAGGGTGCCTAGATTTAATTGTTGGATTTCTTATTTGTGTGCATGATAATTAGTTGTCCATTTTCATATTTAGGAGTAAATATTGTGGTGAATTATCTAAAATAGTCATTAGATAACATTTTTATCATTGACATCTATTAATCATAAACTTGCTATAAAGTGGCTTAATGTGTAGATTTTTTAACTGCGTGGGGTTCTGTTGACATTGGAATCCAGTGTTAACGGATGACACTAGCTCATTTTGGGCACTTTGGTGCCCCGTTTGTAAAATTGATGATGATTCCTACTTTCCTAAACCCCTATCCTAGCCCCACCCTTGCCCCCCATCCTAGTCCCCCTAAGCCCTTCTCCAAATGTGTGGCTATTATATAATGTGACTATTATGCATTGCATAATAGCTACACATTTGGAGGGGGCTGGGGTAAGAAGTTTAGAAGGGATATAAACTATCAATTTTAAAAACGAAACACCGAAAGTGCTCCAAAATAACAGTGGCACCGGAGTCTCACCGTACTCCGGTGTCACTAGAACCCCACCATTTTACACTAGATTTATTTGATATTTCACTCAATCTCTTCAACTGTGATATATTTTAAAAACTAAACTAATATAGATAAAGGGAGTATGCTACGTATTATTTAATTTGCTATATTGAAAATATCAGGTTCTCAAACATTTTTTGGGCCAGAGCAAAAAGTAAAATGTTTTTAAAGAATAAAAATGTATTATGTGACAATATAAAATTCAACAACATTGTCAAGCCTAATATTAATTAGTTTATCGATATAACCCGCTTATTTTTATAAAAAGACCATGACTTAAAATTAGAGTTAATAAATATAGATCTACATAAATTTAGAAATCTTAATTTAAAAATTAAATTATAAAGCAAATTATAGACTAAGAAAAGATAAATCTCATCACTAACCTAATAATTAAAAAAATTCAAATCAAATTAACTCCATTCGTAATTCGCATTCAAATATATTGATTGGAATGTACATTGTTCAAATATAAGTTTAAATTCAAATATGAGTTTTGATTTGAATATTAAACAAATACATATACAAATACAAATAGAATTGTACTTGATTTGTTCAAAATAAGTACTCTAGAAAACTAATATCGAATAAAAGGTTTTTAAATTACTACTGTAATATTTAGTCAAATTAACGTAACATAAAAATATAAAACATACTATGATTTTTTAAAGTTTTACTTTGTACTCTCTCCGTCCCTTAAACTCTTTTTTTTTCTTTTTTTCTTGTCCTACAAATTTTTTCTTTTTATATTAAAAAATCACTTTTATCCCTATTAATTTTTACTCTACCTATCACATCATACTTTTTTACCAATAATCTATCTATCATATTCTATTTTTAGCCATCACATCAAGAGTATTTTTGAAAAATCAACACAAAAATATCACTCAGTTAAATATACAAAAAGTCAATAAGGAAAAAACTTTAAGGGACGGAAGAAGTATTTTATAGATAAAACATAATTCTGCAAGAGGTATTAATGATTTAGATGTACTATAAAATAATTTTAAGTTAAATTATTTAAAAAGCGATTCCGTTCATTTTAATTATGACTATTTGAATATGTGTTTAGGATTTGTTAATTATTCGAATATGAATCAAATATAAATAAAAAACTTATTTGAAATTCATTTCCTCTTCCGATTTAAAGAAATTAAACAAATATAAATCCACGTATCTTGATATTCGATCCGATTCGTTTACAACCCGAGAACCAATGAACAACTAACAAAAGAGGGATAGAGGCTGTTGCCGCAGCCCGCAGTTCCCAAGCATTCATGTATCCTCATTCCACCCATTAGGCTTGGTCAGATGTGTGGCCCAAAATGATGTTAAGATAGGACTTATTTAAACAACTAAATTTGGCCATTTTTACTCATTCCCTCTCAAATTATTTGTCACATTTCTATTACCGAGATAAAATATCAAGTTTTTTCAATTCATTTTATTTACATATTGGTAAAGAAATAAAAAATAAAAATTACATATAAAAAAATTCATGTAAAGTTCTTCGAAATAAGAGGTGTCAAGAATATTTTATTTTATCAAATAAATAATGAAAACGTAGAAATAAACAAAAATTCTCGTGATTGTTGAAAAAGCAAATGTGGCAAATAATTTGGAACGGAGGAAGTATTTAACTAGCATCTCAAATTCTTAGTATTAATTAATTGTTTCATTTAATATTAGAGACTAAGACTGTGTTTTGTTCGCCTGATCTTGTATGATCTGATTGCAGTTATAACTAAAGATATTTTTGACATGATCTGATCTGGTCTGATCTGATTATAACAAGAATAAGTAATAAGTAGAATAAATAAGTTGAACATAATGCTGCTTAACTTGAATTCTACTCCCTCCGTCCATCATGATTATTTTCAAATGTCTTTTTTGTTTGTTCATGAAAGATCTTCTAATTCCAATTCAGTTCTCTAGTATCAAATAATATGTTTGCAGTTCTTCGAGTATGGATACCTTTCTATGAATAGTCATTTTTACTTTTTGTCATGCTAGTGTTAAAAAAATGACTAAAAGTGTAATTTCACAATGATAATATATTTTTCTTGTCATTACCAATACTAGAGTTTGTTGGTGATGTGTCGTTTGTCAGCTGGAGTCATTGTTTACTGCAACCGTAGTGTACAAATGTGTTCTCTACTCAGAATCATAATCCACATTTAAAGTCATTATTGTTGTGTTGTGTGTTAAGTCGACATCAAAATACGTCACTGACATATGATCGATGTAAAAATGGATTATACATGAATATTTATTTATAAAAGGACTACAAACATAATATTTGATAATATATGACGAAATATGGAAAATTTTAATTATAGAATTTAGAGTTTGTTTTCTTCAACTTAATCTTTTTACTTATTACTTACCCCCTCCGTCTCAAAATAATACTCATAATTTTACTTTACACGGAGTTTTAAAAAAGTGAAATTGTATAGTTGAAAGTGATATCGAAAAGAGAAAAAATAAACCACAAAAAGCTTTCGAAAAAAGGAAAATGAAAGATTAATTTGCGACGATCCAAAAAATATGAGGATCGATTTTGGACGGAGGAAGTATTATTATTGGAATTAGATTAGAAAAACTTTTATAAATAAATTCAATCAAGTTAAATCAAAATATAATCAAATCATATCATAAAGTTGAGGGGAACACTCTTAATCTAAAACTTCACTCTCCCTACTTTATACCGAAACTGAACTATCCAAACAAGGCATAGAGTACTGTTCTCTTTCACGCCCTTCTTTCTTTTTTCCCCGCGATTTGCTACGTTTTCTCACCGTCGTCATCAGATGCCGCTGCAAATTGCTTTGTGACCTAAGATCAAAGAAAGAAAAAAGAATTTGTAAAATGTCTTAATATAGTAACCTGCGGAACCGAAATACCTCGAAAAAGGCGATCTCCGTTTCATATATATTTATTATTTTTTTATTTTCTATTCCCAGTTCTTAACCCTCCTGAATTATACCCATCTGTCTGAATTTTTCCTCTTTTCTTGAGGCGTTTTGTAATCCCTGTTTGGCTGGTGAGGCGGGGGTGAGGTAAAAATCTTTAATTTTCAGCGCTAATTAATTGACCAGCTACTTTTCTTTCGTTTGCTTCTTCTCAATTGCAGAAATTAGGGATTTCTGTTTAATAATATTTTATATTGTAATTATATGGATATTCTATAAGGACATGCTATAATTGGTTGTACTTTTCACTGCTGGGTTCTTTCTTGTTTTTGGAAAGGTACCATTAACAGCTGTTGTTCAATGTTTTTTTTGACAAGGTGTGTTCTTTACCGCGATTAGGATCAATTCACACTATTGTGGATCAAAAGGCAGTGAGACGAATTCCGCTCGGATTACACACCTCTAGTTGGGCTTGAACTGACCGATAATTTATGTAATCAACCCTCATGAATTCTCTTTCAATTCTTTATAGTATTTTGATGCTCACCATATTAATACTTCAAACATTCGGATTGCATTTATAGACCTCTTAGGATGAGTAGCCTATGATCTTATAATTTTTTACATTTTTTTTTGTATTGGAAAATTTGACGCCGACAATCCCATGTTTTGCCTATTTTAAGATAATACTCCATCCGTCTAGAATTTAGGCTCCACATTTGATCGGACTCAATTATTAAGAAATGTGAAATTGAGTGGTTGAGAGTTATACAAAAGAAAGATAGATTCTTTAAAAGGAAAGAGAAACCTTATTTTGGGACAAACAAAAAATGTGGACTTTTTTTTTCTTTTTTAATTTGTGGACGGAGGGAGTAATGCTAGGTTTTGTATTTTCCACCAATAATCTCAAGTTTGCTTTGTTGTTCTCTACTTCACCGGTAGTGAGTTTTCAAGCGAGAATGTGTTGACAAGGCGTATGAGATTATGTTGGTTCTTTTAGTCCTTGTATTGATGAAGAAACGGTTCCTTTTACTGTGTGAGAAGCATCTCATCTTAAGACTCACCACTACTGAAGAAGTGACCATTAACATCTACACATAGCAAACTTTGGATAATTGGTGCTATGGTGTAAAATGAGATACCCTTGAGATTATTTGCGTCAAATTTTCCTCTTACATTTTATAGACGTATGTCTTGATACAAAATTGAACAATCATATTCATTGCATTGTGATTTTCAAGCCACATATATATACCATCATTTTTTTGTGGAAGGAAATGTCCCTTTTTACCAAACGTGTTCGTTCAAGTGTTAGAACCCTTTTTTGGAAAGGTACTTAATTCCGTGCACCAATATGTGAAAGTATTTATTAAATTTTTCCTTCCAATTTTTTAAATTATGAATATTCCTTCTTAGCTTTTGAAGACATCTAATCTGATCAATCATATCATCTACTTTATGCAGTCATAATATGAGTTTTAATTGTCTCTTGTGTTTGTCTTGCAGATGATGAATATGTTTGGACCTGGATATTGGGACGGGATCGCCAATGGAGCAAGCTGCCATGACAAGTTTCACGACTTGCTCAGTTTTCTGGATTTTCCAATGGAGAGTTTGGAGGGAGAAGACTCTGTTGAAGGTTGGGATTCTATCCCTTCTGATGATTCGTTACTACTAGACTTGCATCCTTTTCCCCACCCATATGCTTGCAATGGTTCATTGGATGCAGTGGTCAAGTTAGAGGCTTCTGTAAGTTTCTCAAACTTTAAATCTTGCATTTTGCATTGCACAGTGCGTTGCGCCAGATTCGTGCATTAATTTGATTATCATATTGGGATTTTATTGATTTAAATGCTCATCCAATGAAGAACATATTTTGCTTTAATTAATACTGGGTAGTATAGGTGATGGAGGATGGACGTCCTCCTTGGGCCGGAGCATGGGTAGGCCCAAGAGTACAGGAACGGCAGGCCCAGGGTCTTGCGGTCGCTTCCTCGTGGGTTGCGGTTGTCTCCCTCCAAAATTATCAACATGCAAACCACTACCTACTATGCAATAATTGCAAAGGTCATTACACACGTTGCGGCAATTGTGGCATGACAAATGGCATGATTAGCTAGGGTTTAGGGACGTTATAACGAGCGTGTTGAGTTGTATATGTCCCCGAATCCATAGGACTTGTAATGGATCCAAAATTTAAAGCAATAGAGTACTCATGTGTGCATCTCTTTCTCCAACTTTTACTCTCTCTTTACATTCATATCTTGTTCATTCTCTTCTGACCTCTGAGTCGGTTTGGTGGGGTTATATTTCATCAATAGGGAAATAAAGTTGTGTTGTTGTTTACCGTGTTCACATTTGATGGTAAAGAGTGCATGATCCTAACAACTAGTTCCTGAGTCAAGGTTTGGTAGATTGTTGTGATTTTTCAACATCATGTGTGAAATAAAGTAACTCCAATATCTGGAATCACTTTTGACAAAGTGTCAGTCTTTCCCATCCGAAAGGAGGGAAAGGTCAAGGGCGGCGTAACATACCGTATGAAGGTTGGGTAGTTAAAGTGGAAGGCTGCCGCTATGTGACAAGAAAATTTCATTCGACGAACTGTGTTCCATAGGCTAGAGCGGTGGAGCTGGATGATATTTGAACCTGACGTGATTAAGACTGGGTTGAACTCCACTTAATACAAGTACACCATGATAAGTTGAGCATTAAGGCGTTATTTTATAGACTTAGCCTGGCTCAGAAGAAATTCAGGCATTAGAAACAACAACATTATAAAGACTTTTGATGTTGGTCATCTACAAAGCTTTGGCCTTTTTTCCAAACATGTGAACATGTTTTGCATGTTTTGAGAATACCATACAGTTTGGGTTATATTGATTTCCAAAGAGAATTACGTTGTAGATAATCAGGTTTTTCCCAATCAGTTGTCTTTTCTTTGTTCTCATCTGCCGCTTCAGTGGGTTTCTCATAGACACCAAATCTCAACATAAGTTGACTATTTGTACAAGTTTGTCCCAGGTGATAATAACAAATGAACTGTAGGTAGAGTCCGGAGTAGCCATAGCTGATCTAGGAAGAGTCCCATGGCCCATATTCTAGTGTCAAGAGCATGAACCATATGGCCGCCTTAAGATAAGGATATTTATGGTGTGATTGGTTTTGTGAGATGTGTCAAGAGTACTAAGTATACCCTTCCCTTAAGTCCATTACTGTACACTGCTCCCTCTCAGTCTTATTATAATGCATTTCTATCAATGTCATCAACATACTTGAAGCCTCAAGATTGTTAGTTTCGGGTAAATAATGAATTAAATCAAAACAGCACAATACCCTAACTTTGCTTATTATGTTTATTTCAGCAACTCTGCTTCTTTTTTGAACAGAAACTTTAGAACTCAAAATTTTCATTAGTTGTATATCTGTTGTTTGTGATTCAACCCCAAAAGGTGGACAGAATCTCCCAGCAAAATCAGGTGCTTAATTATGGCGAAAACCCTTCTGGTGCTGCAGCAGCCCTTCTCACAAAGACATCAGATAAAGATATCTTGTCCATAAAACCTGACTTTATCGTCCCTGTACGTAGGCGGTCAAAGCGCACCCGTTCCCTAAATGTCAATCCATGGCTTTTGATGTCTCCCATGCTTTCTACTAATACAACTCCATCCAAAAGCACTCCCGGTACGTTTGAATTCCAGATATTGATTTCGCTACTTACACACCACTTGGTGTCCACCAAGTTTTACACCAGCCCTGGCACAAAATGCCAGTGCGAAATTTTGTGATCCCACTAGCATTTTGTGCCAGTGTGTGCCATCAGTGTTCTTGTGCAAAGCATTGTTGTACAACTTGGTGTGGTGTACAAGTAGCATGGTTCTTGCTATTTTTAAGGAAAACAAATGCCAAGGAAATATATTCTCCTTTGATTTACATTGAAAATGCTAAATGATATACTACATATATAAATAAAAATACACCTACCCCCCTCACAAACCGTCTTTCCCTTGCAAATGACGAAATGCTACAATTTTGGCATTTCCACTCTTCAGGGGTTAGCGTAGGGCTCACTTTGGGGGCCTAACAAAGCACTGTAAGACCCTCAAATAGCCCGGTCTCATGTTTTGACACTCAAAGTGGTTGTCAAAAGAACCTTGCCCGTGTATACATACATATCATTAACATTTTATCTTTCACATGTACATCGATTTCCTTTATTTTCTTCCGCCAGTATTTACCTGGGTCCAAACGAACCCTTCAACTCCTGAAAAGAAGAGACGAAGAGAGCCGGTGCAGAAATCAGTTCCCAGCCCGCAGGAGAATGGTTGGGTTAAACGATGCATGCATTGTGAAATTACAAAGACGCCCCAGTGGAGGGAGGGACCGTTGGGTCCAAAAACACTATGCAATGCTTGTGGGGTCCGTTACCGTTCCGGACGGTTGTTTCCCGAGTACCGACCGGCCGCTAGTCCGACGTTTGTTCCGTCTGTGCACTCAAACCTTCACAGGGAAGTCATTAGAAAGAGAGCAAAAACAGTCCACAGAGAAAACCAAGTTCAGCATGGCATTGGTGAATGACACCTCCAATAATGTCTTTGCCAGAAATTGTCATGAGGTATGTTTGTTTCGTCTCATATAGTTTTAGACCTGAAAAAAAAAACAATAAAGTAAATTATGTAATGGTATCATTCTCAGGGTTTGTTTTTATTGTAATTGTTGCATTTTTTATTGATGTAACCCTAGATTTGTTAGAAGGATAATTCTTTTTTTTAGTGTAACTGAAACCCAATTTTTTAATACCGGACTGTGTTAAGTATATTCAGTCATATTCCTAGGAATTGAACTTCCGAAACTTTTAAAATGATAAATTTTGATGTATTTGTTATATATACTCCCCCCGTCTGGAAATTAACCGCCTATGAACTATTCGTCAGTCAAATTTTGTTCGCTCTATTTATTTTTACTATTTATTTTATAATATAATATAATATGACAATGTCTCATCTTGTTTTGTAGAACGTTTAATACAATTTTTAAATATATAAGTTTTATACTTTGTAATTTTTACACGTACAAAACTTGTAAATAGGAAATTCATTTTTAGATGGAGGGAGTACTTTATTGACTTCTATAGCTTTTTATATGCAAGATTGTTTCAAGTACATGTAAATTATATCTAGTGACTGTTTGGCAACATCTGCAGAGTTTAGCTTTAGCGTATGACAAGTCTATATAGCGATAGTGATGGGTTTTAGAACCCGGGACCTAGGAGACTAGGTAAAAGAGTATCGAAAGGGCTGAGTGTCTTTTGGTTGCAAGAGTAGAGTAAATATTTGTTTTAGAAGTGAATCTGGACATGTCTTCCCTCCTTCAGGGGAGGGATATTTATACAATACATTTTTCCATACTTGGATCTCTTAGCTTTTTGTCTATGGCCTAGTGGGCTGGGCCTATCGAGATCATGTCTTTTGATTGACAACACAAGAAATATGATTAGAATAGGGCGGCTACAAATAGGGTGGTTAAAACTATCGTACAAACAATCGTATTAGAGATGTCTCAGCGTGAGCCCGTTTGATTAGACATGTCATACAGGCTCTCACGTCCGTAGTAGGCCTACAGTGCTTTGTTGGCGGCAGAGGCTGAGTACAGAAGCCGAGTGCGCAGACTCTGTCGTTGGAAGTTAGCCGAGTAAGGATCTGACCGGGTCCGTTTCAGGGTCTGAGGGGATGTAACTAGGTTGAGTAGGAGCGCATGTCTGAGTACAATTGTCACCTTGGGCCTTGGTTTCCTTTAAGTCCCGCTTGGTCGAGCGCGTCCGAATCATTAGGTGGGCCGCTTATTTTGTTGGGCTAGATACCCCCAGTCCAGGGAATCCATCAGATATTATTCAGCTAGAATTATTAAAAATGCTAACGTTATTTGAATAACAGTACTTTCAAATATAATCCTAGTATAGTCTTGTAAAGAAGGGTGAGGTAGGTTTTGAACTTGATAATTCTTGACATTTTCATGTTAGCCTTTGTTGAAGTTGAACAATACATTTAGGGTGTAGTGGGGCATTCCAGCTCATATGTTGCTCCGTCCTTTCTTCGGACACCTATGTCACCCTTGGCCCAAATCTGTTTAGATTGGCCCATAGGTCGGCCTTCCTACTCTTGGGTGCATCTAAAGGTATTTTTTATACTAGTATTTTTCAGTTTATTATTGATAAACAGTTTTGAACTAATTAGCTATTTAATGCAGTTTTTTGTAAGAAAGCTTAAATGAGAAATGAGTTATTTTGAAACATTCATAGAAGGTTATGGATAGTTTTGTAACTAATTTTGATCAACTTACAACACACTATAAGGGTGTTTCTCTGTGAATATAAGTTAGTCAAAATTATTATATATTTTTTTAAGCAATGGATTGCTGATATTTTTCCCTTGGACTGTTAGACAGTTCAATGTCCAAGTATCAGTGGTCTGGGCTTTGTAACAGTAAAGAATAAAAATATAAGAGTAAATAAATAGTAAATATGGACCGCACACAGTAAATGGAATCAAACCAATGTCCTATTCTCTAAATCGTCCATCTTAGGATTAGAATATTTGTAATGATGCCGAAATATTCTTTTATTATTCAATATATCACTTTCTCTCCCTTCGTTACAAGATTCCTAATCAATGGCGATCTTCCTCTTATAGGAGGTCTTCCCAACCACCATCTTATTAATATATTTTTTGGTTGTTGGGGTAGGACTGGGAAATCATATTCTCCTCCCTAATGGTTCCACTTGATCACTCTAGGTTGTTGGCTGGACATGTATTCCCTATACCTACTATCTCAAATCATGTCAGGAGGACCTTTGTCCACTTCTTCAGGGAGACGCTGCCCTAATTTTTAGGAGTGGGTCGTGCTAGTCTCTTGACCCCTCTCTTTCTCTGGCTGGAGCTTTATATTTGCTCTAGTCCAATCTTTCTAATTCTTTGGCAGCCTTTTAAGCTCAACCCTTTCGTGATATCCTTCATGATATGGACCGAGTCAAAGTTGGACCCAACACAATCTTCCTTTTCTCATACGGGCGGGCTCCCAATCTCATGGATCCTTAGCTGGGCTTTCAGGCACAACTTGGGTCTAGCCCGTTTTTTATTCTGATAGGTCAGCCTCCCATCATTAACTTATAATTATTTTGATGACGTGTTTGTTTGTGCTTATGAACCGAATCATTACTTATGAGTTAAAAAATAAGTAGATTTTGTGTGCTTACTTTTAAGCCATTTTTCTTCGTTCTCTATTTCGACCAAGTAAATAACAAAGTTGCCCCTATATTCCAAAATAACTTCCTCCAACACCATTGCCACGTCAATGTCGCTGCCGCCGCAACCATTATTGTCATCGTACAACTGTCATTACCGATGCCAACCACTTCAATCGAAATTGATAGATCGCCGCTTATTTGCTTCACCGTTGTCATTTTGCGTTCATTTAAACAAAAATTGAGTTTGTCATTTACCCACAATTCCCACTTACAAGGTTTAATGGATTGAAGAAGAATGCAACAAAAACAACAACATCAATAATCTAGTTTGATCTCATGAGAGTAGGGTTTAAGTAAGGTGTGCGTACACAACCTTGCCCCTACTAAAAAATTGAGAGAATGCTTCCAATAGACTCCCGGTTCAAATAGCATATATGAAAATATGATCACAAAGTGTATATATAGAAGAGATAGTAAAAGAAAAAAAATATAAAACGAGGTAAAAATAGCTAGTAGAGAGCACCAAACATACCAAGCACACAACAAAAGGAGAAACTACCACTTAGTCCAAAGCGCTTATCCGGCTACCTTAATCTTAGCACTCCAAACGCTCCTATGTAAAGTAATATACTCATTAAAAAATTATGTCCTTTTCCATCTTTTTACAATTTTCTATAACTTATCGTCTGGTTAGAATTAAAGCCAGTTTGCATATATATACTTCAATTGCTTGTTTGTTACTTATAATTTCACTGCTTATTTTGAAGTAACTTATAAGTTTAAAGCTTCTTATAAGCAAAAAATCATTAAGCACTAACACAGAAAACATCTCTTAATCTCCACAATAAGTCTCATGAGTCCTTTGACATTGGACTTGATCTTATCAAAATATGGGTCATACCAGGCCAAGGTGTTAGGTTCAAAGTATTAACGAGCGTAATAATTGCAACCCAAGCCCGACCCTTATAGTACCTGATGGTTTTGGGCTGGCCTGACTCATAATAAGTACTAAAGTAAATTTAATTTCTTCAATCTTAAAAGGAATCACTTTCCTAAAAAACAACCTGAATGTATTTTTAATATCTTCATTTTCTTTCCCAAACGAATAAAGGAGTGAGACAGTTTGAAAGAATTGGAAAAAACTAAAATAATTGGAAGAAACTGAAAAAAATTAAATGAAATTGAAAAAATTAGAAAAAATTGGAAAATCTAAAAAAATGAATTTTTTGTGTATTTTTATATTATTCTCATTCTAATTCTTGATGTTATAAATTATTAATATTGATATTATTATTATCATTATTGTTTTTGTTGTTGTTGTTCTCCTCAAATTATATTAATGAATGCTTTTAAGATAAAAAATATTGTTATTTTTCATACATAAAAAAATTACTTTTGCAAAAAAAATTAATTAGAATATAAAATTAGCATAAATATCAAAATGTTAAATATTTAAAAGTTATTGTGGCTACACTGTACACTACTTTATTTATGCAGTGTTTATCATAAAAATATATATTTATAGTTATACTTTATATATTACGGAGTACAAGATTTTGTTTTAAATACCAGACATGTCACATAATGTGATTAGTGTGAATCATAAAAATAGTGACATGAAAAAATAAAATAATTTATAAACTATAGTTATGTACATAATAAGTGTAATAATAATAATAATATATCGTTTTTAGAATAATTGATCGGGAAGTAGAAAAAGTTTGAAGAAAATAAAAATACTTGGAAGAAACTGGAAAGAAATGGAAAAAACTAGAAGAAACTAAAACCAAAATTGGAAAAAACTGAAAGAAATTGGAAGAACCGTAAGAAACTAGAAGAAATTGGAAAGAACTGGAAGGAATTGGAAGTTAAGAGTTCAAGCCCTAAAGAAGAGATTCTAACTGTTTCATTTTCTGTTTGTCCGAACAACGAAGGAAAACAGAGGTAATGTATGAAATAAACTAATTGAAATATTTGCACTAAATAACACTAAAACTTAAGTCATTTCTCTAAATAGCACTTAAATTGTTTTATTCCCTAAAAAGCATTTAATAATGTCCTCTGATGGCAAGTATTTGTTTGAATAATGACTACTGCATAATGACTAAAAGTGCTACATTGGGAATAAAAACACATGTGGTGCTATTTAGGGAAAGTCATTATGTTTTAGTGCTATTTAAGTAAATTCCTCTATAAACTTAAGTCTAATGACTAAGCTAGGTTTTAGTAAATATAAACGGGTCAGGCTGCTCGCGGGCTTTAGGAACATAGTTCATACCCAACCTTATTATACGGGTACCCTTAAATAGAAATTAAAAATAAAACTGATATATTTAAAAATTACATTAAAGTTTTATAAAACGAAAAGTGACAAAAGTATATTATTTTTGCAAATAATTGATGAATATGTACAAATAAAAAAGTTGTAATTTTCAAATAGTGAAAGTGTAAAATAATTTCAAAAAAGTGAGATGTTTCTCTTTGTAAACTCTAATTTGTAATCAAATTGGGAACGAAGAGAGTACTTCTTAATCAACTTAAGACTTTAATAAAGAGTTAGAAAAATGTTAGGGGTACACCAAAAGTATACTCCAAATGTACACCACCCACTTCAATGTCACATATATTGGCAAATAAATTAAATTGGAAATAAATATATAAAAAAAAATGGTAACAAATGAGTAATTTACATTTAGAGTACATTTCTAATGTACCCTGCTCGAAGAGTTATGGTAGAATTGGGAAGTATGAGAAAAAGAAGCATATGTCGTCATTTGTAGGGCAGAAGGTCGGAGACGGCTAAATTGGCATACCTTATCAATGGTCTCTTCTGCATTTAATGGACTACTGAACCTCTACTGTACTGCACTTCTAGATTTCCCACACCCCACACATTTCGTGCCTCACAATATTGCTTTTCTACCACATTTTTTCACATTTCGTACCAAAATACTCTCTATCTCCAAAAAGTTAGTCCCTCAGTGAAAATCATGTAAAATTTGGCTCTCTTTATATACCCCTTGTCACAATTATTATTATGCTTTCTTGATAATTTTTATTTGTTTGTATATTTTCATTGATAATTTGATAAATAAAATATTTTTGTTCCATCCTATATTATAGAGTTTTTTATGTACTTTTAAACGGTGTAATTTATACTTTTTATATCTATACTACGTAATAATTTTTAATTAAAATGATTTTAAAAATAATGGGATTTTACACGCTGTTTGGAGTGTGATATCCAACATGGGACGAAGGGAGTAGTACTTTTCAACCCACTTTTAATTTCTTTGGCTGAATTTGATATTTTGATCAATAAAACAATCAAAATTATCGTTTAGCAAATGGTTTTTTCATTTAGCCGGTCGTGCGAAAAAGCCAAAATTTGAAAACCAAAGAGAGTAGCTTTTAGACTTGGCTGTTATAAAAATTAAAGTTAAAAAACAAAATAACTAAAATGAGAAAATAAAAGTAAAATAGAAAAAATACAAAATAAAAAAATTAGATATGATAATGAGAGCAGCAGAAATGGGTGTGAGTGTGACGCCCACCGGCGTCAACCCCGATTTTAACGCTCGGGGACGTTAAACACCGCCCCCCTAGGGCTTCAAACGGGCATGATACGTTCAGCGTCAAACGTTTGATGCGATCCTCCCCTCCCCCAACGGCAAAAAAACGTCTAATTTAGCCGTTAAACCAAAAAATATCTAAATTAAAAAAAAAACCTATAAATTCTCCCAAAACAAATCTATCTCTTACACATCTCTCACTATCTTTTCTCTACAATTCTATCAATCTTTCAAATATTTGATTATTTATTATAAATATTTATAAAATATATTTTAAAAATGGGATCATATTCATCCAATGATGAAAAAATAGATCTCATTTTTCGTTGTTTCGCCATGAGTTGTGTTCAATGGTGGGAACAAGGCGAAAAAGAAGAAGCCGAATCTTCCCAACGTCGGACCCGAACCCGACGACAACGTTTAAACTGGGATCAAACGGCTGCCCATGCTTCACTTTTCAACAACTACTTTAATACTCCGTGTGTTTATACACCGGAGGATTTTAGTAATCGTTTTCAGATGAGTCGCCCTCTCTTTATACGCATACTCGCCGATGTTGAACGCGAGGTGTCTTGGTTCACCCAGCGCTTTGATGCGAGAGGCCGACGTGGGTTTAGTAGTGTCCAGAAGTGCACTGCCGTGCTTCGTCAGATGGCGTACGGGACGACATCTGATATATTTGACGAATACTTGAAGATGTCGGCTCGGAGCATCAGGTCCTGTGTTTATAAATTTTCTAAAGATATTATTCAAATTTATCATAAAAGATATTTACGCAAGCCTACAGCGAGCAACATTCAGCGGTTACAGGCAAGGCATACTGCTAAGTACGGCTTTGTCGGCATCCTTGGGAACATTGGTTGCACGCATTATTGGGAATGGAAAAATTGTCCCACTGCATGGCATGGTCAATTCTCCCCGGGAGATCATCCCAAGCCTAATATCATGCTCGAAGTTGTTGCTTCAAATGACTTGTAGTTTTGGCACACTTTTTTGGTGTCGCGGGCTCGAACAACGAAATCAACGTTCTCGATCAATCGCTTGTTTTTGACGATTGGATTAATGAGATCACACCCAACTCGTCTTTTGAACTTAGAAAGACGTTTTACAAGCGTGGATATTATTTGGCCGATGGAATATATCCAGAATATTCCACGATTATCAAGTCCTTCTCCAAACCAATGAGTCTTAAACGCCAGACCTACAAAAAAAGATCACGAGGCGGCGAGAAAAGATATTGAATGAGCCTCCGTGGTCTTGAAAGCTAAGTGACACATTCTAGATCGTCCGTCGAAATGTTTTTCTCAAACAAAAATGAAGAATATCATGTACGCATGTATTATTCTTCATAATATGACCGTAGAGGACAATGGGTTTGTGATTTATCAATACAACCCGAACGGGGAGGTGCCTATGTACGAAGAAATTGACGAAAAAAAGAAACCGCCAAGAAATTCGAACCCGAGAGATTCACAATGCACTAACGGCGGATTTGATCGAACATATCTTCAGTCGTTCGAATAATTAGTAATTTCTTTGTAGTGTTGTTTTGTTATGGATTTAATTTTTTTTAATGAATGTAACTTTTTTTATTAATGTATTTTTTTTATGAATGTACTCCCTCCGTCCTAAAATGTTCTTCCCACTCACTTTTTACCCGGTCAAACTTTAATCACTTTCTTTACCTATTTTCATTAGGTATTTGATAAAATAATATAGTCTTGTCACCACTTGTTTTGTAGAACTTTTGATGTAGTTTTTAAATATATAAATTTTATTTTTTAATTTTATACGTACAATCAAATAAATTGAATTGAAAATAAAGTCGGTCAAACCTCGTAAAATGAACCGGGAAGAACATTATAGGACGGAGGGAGTAATATTTTTTTAATGAATGTAATTTTTTGTAATGCACTAGTCTCCTTTTGATTATTTTAAATAATAAATTAATTAAAATTTATTATTTTAAATTTAGAAAATATATATTTAAAAATGTAAAAAATGAATGTTTGGAGTCGCTGTTTGAAGCCCCGGGGCTTCAAACCCCTTTTCACTGAATATGTGAGGTAAGTTAAAGCTGACGTGTCAGAGAGAGAAAATTTGAAACCCCAGGGCTTCACGGGTATTTCCAGTGCCCTAACATATACTTGTATGTTCCAAAATTCATATCATAGACCATAGTAATACACATAACAAGATTATAGTTTTCTTTTCTTTTTTTTTCTTTCAAATTAAAACTTAAAAAATGGACAGTCATCCGTCCCTCCAATCTCTCTCCCTAATCAGTTGGATTTAGATCATGAGAGAGCGAAGATAAGTACAAAACCACGCGAAGAACGGGAAAGTGCGTGAGATTATTAAAACTTTGACTAGAGAGAGAGAGAGTATATATAGTAGAGAGTTCCATCAACGGCACCGGCTATTTCTGAGGCGGTGTGTCGTGTATTTCTGTTTCGTCTGTTTTCTTCTCAGGCCGATTCCGACGTCCTTTGCTTCGCCGGAGCTCTCTATCTCATCGCCGATTCAATCCCGACTATTTCATCTAAGCACCTTCGCATTCACTCCGGCCTCCATGCATTTCTCTGTTCTTATGCACACTGGAAATTAAATTAATTTCTCTCAGCAGTGAGCAGTAATTGCTAGTAATTTATTGATTTCTCGCCGGAGCTGTGTTCACCTCCGCCTCAATCGCACCGCCGCTGCGAAGCATTTACGTGTTCATACACGATTTTACACCGGATATGACCGTTCGGTGTAGGGTTTGATTTGATGGAGCTATGGTGATGACGCGTTCTGAGCCAATTTTAATTGCTTCGTGTTCCTGCTGCTGTTTGGAATTAATGCATGTTTGCAGAAAATGCCTCTGATCTCTTCTGTCTCTCTGCTGGTAGGCCTCACGGACCTCTAGTTTCTGCTGCTTTTTCCTCCGTATGTGGATGTGTACGCGAATATCTATGTTCATAAATGAGTGTGTAGGGATTTTTTTTTCCCACTTTACCGTACATTGCTGTGGAAAATTATTAACCTCTTTTAATTTTCTCGAAATATACCTAGATGGCTTTTGTTGAGATTTATGGTATTGCTATTGGAGTAATTGAAGAATAATTGAATAAAGGACCTTTTTCAGCAGCAAAAGGAGTTCAGAATTTGCTGAAACACGAGGAGGAATTCAAAGAGTATTTTTGAATTTTGAGGAGATATTATTAGGAAGAGGAAATGAAGGAGTCGAGTGAGAAGAACTGTGTGGACTCGCAGCTATGGCATGCTTGTGCCGGTGGGATGGTGCAAATGCCTCCAGTGAACTCAAATGTCTTCTACTTCCCTCAAGGCCACGCGGAGCACGCACTTGCCAGTGTTGATTTCTCAACGTTGCCTAAAGTTCCAGCCCTGATTCTCTGCAGAGTTGATGCTGTGAAATATTTGTCTGACCTTGAGACCGATGAAGTTTTTGCTAAGATCAGGCTGGTTCCGATTGGGAACAACAATGACCGGGACCTCGATGATGCAGTGAAAGAAAGCAGTTTGTCTGAAGCATCTAATAAACCAACATCCTTCGCTAAGACATTGACTCAATCTGATGCCAACAATGGAGGTGGATTTTCAGTACCAAGGTACTGCGCTGAGACTATCTTTCCAAGGTTGGATTATGCCGCTGATCCTCCTGTCCAGACAGTGATAGCCAAGGATGTTCATGGGGAAACGTGGAAGTTCAGGCATATCTATCGCGGGACACCAAGAAGGCATTTGTTAACAACAGGGTGGAGTACTTTTGTGAACCAGAAGAAGCTAGTTGCTGGCGATTCAATTGTGTTCCTCAGAGCACACAATGGAGATCTTTGTGTTGGAATCCGCAGGGCAAAAAGGGGAAGCAGCATTGCCGCTCCTGACTCTTCGTCCAGGTGGAGTATGGGTTCTCGAAGCTATAGTGGATTTTCGAGGGCAGATGAGAACAAAAGCCAGATTAATGGTAGTAATGGAAACTCGAATTCTACAACTAGGGGCTTTAGTGAAAGGGGAAGAGTGAGTCCCCAATCAGTTCTTGAGGCTGCATATCTTGCTGCTACTGGGCAGCCTTTTGAAGTTGTCTATTATCCACGCGCAAACACACCAGAATTTTGTGTTAGGGCATCATCTGTGAATTCCTCAATGGCTGTCAGGTGGTGCTTGGGGTTGAGGTTCAAGATGGCATTTGAGACTGAAGATTCTTCTAGGATAAGTTGGTTCATGGGAACAATATCTTCTGTTCAAGTTGCTGACCCCATCCTCTGGCCTTATTCACCATGGAGGATTCTTCAGGTAATTCACTTCTAGCCTCGTGTATACTCTGCATACTACTCGGTGTGTATTTGCTAATGTCATAACTGTTGTGTCATATGTATATTGTCTTGGTTGAATCTCATTAATGTCTTTGGTTTCTAATTGACCACAGTATATTTGTTTGTTTGTTTTGGAATTTGATTAGCTCTATTTACACATTCTGGTTTTCTGCCTCAATCTATAATTTAGGTGACATGGGATGAACCTGATTTGCTGCAAAATGTGAAGCATGTAAGCCCATGGCTAGTTGAACTGGTCTCAAACATGCCCATGATTCATCTTTCACCATTCTCGCCACCAAGAAAAAAACTGTGTCTATCACATGATTTCTTAATGGACGGCCAATTCCCAATACCGTCATTTTCAAGCAACCCCCTCGGGTCCTGCAGTGATTTCTGTTGTCTATCAGACAACATTTCTGCAGGCATGCAGGGAGCCAGGCATGCTCAATATGGAGGACTATTAACACCAAGTCTCCTTAGAGTTGACACTAATGGAAATGTCAAGGCACAACTGGATGGGGATAAAAAAAGTATCTCTTGCTTGCTAAAGGTGGGGAATGATTCTACCAAGGATGAGCTCACGCCTCGATTCTTGCTCTTTGGTCAGCCAATACTCACTGAGCAGCAAATGTCAACACAGAAGAAGAATTCCAGAAGTGAGATTCAATATGACAGGAAACATCATTCAGAAAATCAATCAAACCCAGATACAACTGGTCACTGCAAAGTCTTCATACAGTGTGAAGATGCTGGGCTTACACTTGATCTCTCAATTCTGAGGTCATATGAAGAACTATACAAAAAACTAGCTGGCATGTGTGGGATAGAAAGATCCAAGGTGCTAAGCTGTGTGGCCTACCGAGATGCAATTGGCGTTCTCAAACAACCGGGAAACGAACCATTTAGGTACTTCGGACAACAATGTATTTATTATTCAGCAAAATTCACTCTAGAATGAATAACATACAAACATCTGTTGGTTGGCCTGCATCTTTTAATTGCAGTGAGTTCACGAAGAATGCAAAAAGGTTGGAAATTGTGATGAATCCCAGTAGCATTGCGGGGAGGTAAATTCCAATATCACTAAAATATTGGCGTATTAATTTAATTGAATTGGCATTTGCTCCTCAGTTATCTAGTGAAATATTCAAAAAGAGTCTACAAGAGTGGATAATCTCATATCCTATTTTCATCAAAATAGTCTCTTCCCCGACGTAACACTGATAAAATACTTAATGCCATGTTCTTAAAGTGTCTTCCAATATAAACTAGCATTCTCCCAGTTCCGAAGCAGATCTTTGTTCGTTAATAGAGTGATTAATTAATTAATTCTTACAACACTTGATAACACATGCAGGAGGTGGGTCACGGGTCTTGCAACTGCCGAACGCGGACTAAAACCATCGAACCAAGCGGGTGCTCTTGGGATATTTGCGTAGCAGCTCAATAATATGTACTGAAGTCCATACTTTGTGTGGTGCAAAGATGAAAGGGTAATTTATTTGTCCAGTCCTAAGATGGATAGAGTTTTTTATGTGCATTTTATCTGATAAACTTAAAGATTACCTGGTCCCTGGTATAGTGTAAGTTGAAATGTTGTCGGATTCGTTTATTTGGAGCACTTCGCTTAGTGTACCCGAAAATCATTACACCGCCTTATACACCCTACGCAATTTTTTTTTACCAGACATCTGTTTCATTTGTCTTTGCATTGGCATAGACAAGACGAATGTCTGTGAGAGCAAAAAACGTTGTACTCGGAGTGGTGGCCTGGCGCGTAGCCGTGACCAACAAGGACGTTGGGCCTTATGGGGGTCGAATGATACGGACTGATTTCATTATCCCACACCGGTTAATCAATTTTTTGCGAGATGAAGAAAGTAAAAAATTATTCCATTACTTTACAAAAAAAAAACTTTCTCAAATAAAAATTAAAAAGTAAAAAAAAATGTTAGATGTGTTTCATGTGCCTCGCCCAAGCCTTGTACTCCATGGAGGAATGGTGCTTCCACACGAGGAAGGAGAATTTTTTATCTTAGGTGGCATGGCAAGGGCTTGGAATGCCGCTGCCCGTGCTCTAATCATTAACACATTGACCATTCTAAATGTTTTTTTCCACTGTAAAATTGTAAATGCAAATACTGTATTGTAACAAAGATTGTGTTACTATGTTACACTCCTAATCGCTTCAAAGTATTTTGTGTTTCTACAAAAAAAATTAATGCTCCATAGTTTAAATTTCTACAAGGGTATTTTGAAAAGGTCAAAAGCATTTATAAGCATAAAAATGCAGCCAAGACAACCTTGGAAGAATATTATAAAACAAAAGGATTGAAGTTTTTTTTGGGGACAAGAAGAGTATGTTTCAATTGTTTGCATAATTTACGACCTTTGGTTGTTAAACTCTTAATTAAGAGTTAATGTCCTATTATAAAATCAATGAATCAATAATTGTAGCTTCTAAATTTTTGGGGTGTATTCAATTGAATAATCGTGAATTTTTAAGATCCAAAAAAATCCTATAGAGTACATGACCATGTTTTCTTTTTCTGATCTAATTAGATATAATCCAATTTTATTTAGACCTGAAATAGTATAATTCAAATTATACTTTGCATTTGAAATTGTTTCTGTTATAATCATCTAATAATACCAATAAGATTAAGGCCGTGTTTGGAAAACAGCATTTGGGATAGCTTTTGGCATCTTTGACTGACTTTGGCTTTTTTGACCAAGCGAACCGCCAAAACCATTGTTTGGCTAATGGCTTTTTCACTTGGCATTTTGATCCGAAAAGCCAAAATCTGAAATGCCAAGGTGAGTAGCATTTGGATTTGGCGGTTAGGAAAAATATTTTTTTTAAAATCATTTTTGTTGAAAGATATTTTATAATATATGTAAAAAATAAAAATAAGTTAAAAAAATTAAATACGAAAAAATAAAATGAAATAAAAAAAATTATATTTATAATTCATTAGAAAATTTATATTTATAATTTATTATGAATTAAATGAAATTAAAATTTAATATTCCATATAGTAAAGATTTAATTTTTACATGTAAAAAATGAAAAATAAATATCATGTCTATATATATATATATAGACACACACACACACACATACATACATACATACATACATACATACATACATACATACATACATATATATATATATATATATATATATATATATATATAATTTTTTATTTAATTTTTTTAATTTAAAAAAAATATATTTATGATATGATATTTAAAAAAATTGTAAAATAAAATATACCATAAATGGAGGGATGTCCTTTTATGTAATTTTATTTACAAACAGCTAACTATAAACAGCTAAAGTTGCCAAACACTTAAAATTTAACTGCTAACAGAAACAGTTGGTCAAAACAGCTAACTCAATCAGCCATTCAAATCAGCTAACATAAACAGTCAACTGCTAGTATCCAAACAAGGCCTAAGTCTACTAATGGAATATTACTTATTCTTATTTGGACTCAGTACTTGTCCACTTTCGATTTTTTATTGTCAAAATTGAAAAACTTTGACTACTAATTAAATAAAAATAATACTTCATCAAACCCACAAAGTTCTTCTTGTTTTGATTTTTTTGAGATTTATGAGAATTAAGATTTTTTGTGTTGACTTTCTCAAATTACTATTGATGTGCTATATGAAATCAGATAATGATGAGTAGATTGTTAGTAAATAAGTATAATGTGATAAATTAAATAAGAATTAGTAGGGTAAGCAAAAATGGTTTTTAATAGAAGGGAAAAAGTTATTGTGGAATTCAGAAAAAAGAAGAAAAATCTTGTGGAACAGAGAGAGTATTTAATATTGAAACAAAAATAATATTAATAGATTTTGTTGATATAATACTTTCAAAATATTATTTTGAAAAAAAGACTAAAATAAGAGAAACATTGAAAATATATACCAAAATACGAATTTTATGTTTTTATTCCCGAAATAAGAATTAAAATGTATTTACATTACCAATTATTAGACTCGTATCCGTGCGTTACACGACCTAATTATAACCTATATAATTAGGAAAAACATTGATGAAAGAAAATGATAAAATTAAATTATAATAATAACATATAATCAAATATTAAAAATTATGAATACTATACATGTTCATAAATATTCAAGTGGTTCAACTATTGTCAATCTCAGAAGACGCATTCCACATACTCTTTGAATGTTTTAAGACATTTTTCGAAAGTGGACCGAATTGGGATGAGAGGTACGGAATGTTTGGAGTATAAGTAGAATATTAATTAGACAATCAATCTACCCATTAAATATCTTCATTTTGTGAATATATTTATGTAATATGATTTGACATAAAGCATGCATGAAGTCACACAATAATTTTACTACGCACAGGGTTCCATAGCAATATACTATCCATGTATTTATCTTGATTTGACATAAAATTTGCATCGAACCACACAACTAAAACCTTTTTGCCCAATTGAATCAATTTTCTTCTATGCCCAATCTGATACCCAAACTCAATGCCCAAACCGTGCCCGAGAACTGTACTCGGAAATTAGCACAATTCATGTTTTCACTTTAGCTTTGTACTACCTCCGTCCCAATTTATAACGCTTGTTTCGGTTTACGATGTTTGACTGAAATTATTTTCAAACATTTTTATATGACAAATGGTATAGAATTAAAAAATAAAAATTACATATTAAAAAACTAAATCAAAAGATCTACAAAACTAGTAGTGACAATAATATTTTATTTTATCAAATTGCTAACGAAAATAGAGAAAGAAAGTGAATGAAGTTTGACCTTGTGAATAGTAAACAGACATTATAATTTGGGACGGATGGAGTATATTAGAAGATGACCATGTACATTACGTTAAATGCACATGTACAGTGTCACAATACTACAGTGTGAACTCTTATTTAGAGAATAAAAACATAAAACTCTTATTTTGATACTTTTTCTAGTATATTTTAGTCATATTCAAAGCAATTTTTTTATTATTTTATCGTACAAATACTTCCCCCGTCCCAAGATACACAGTGTCGAATATTATTCTCTTTTCCAATATTCATTAGTCATTTGATAAAATAATATAATTATATGACTACTAATTTCGTAGATCTTTTGATATATTTTTTAAATATGTAATTTTTAGTTTTTAATTCTACACCATTTTCATATAAAATGATTTAAAAAAATATTCAGTCAAATATCGTAATTCGGAACATGCAATATGAATTGGGACGAACGGAGTATACCATATGATTTTCATTTAACTCGAAGTCAAAGATGGAAAGTGATAGGCTCTAGAAAATTAAAATTGGAGAAACACTCAATACCATGTAAGAAAGTGGGAAAGAACCAAGTTCTAAATTTAATACATCCCCTTAATTATGAAGGTAAAGTACAGAGTATTATGACAATTTAGAACCAAGTTTTTAATTTAATACATCCCCTTAATTATGAAGGTAAGTACAGAGTATTTTTGACAATTCAAATGCATCGTGAGACAACTATGCTTACTATTCTAAGCATGGCCTCTGCAAATTTGAAGTGCAGACTCTATGCTACTAATATGTGATTTAAACCCAATTTACCTTACTTCGGGTGATGGTCTGGCCGATTCTGAGAGGCAGTTAGGAATGAGGTTCATTTTTTTAATAAAAGCTCTGTAAATAGGCTGGTTGCAAGAGTTTGATCTAGAAAAAAGTGTCAAATGGAATCAACTCTCAGCCCACCTTTCACCCTAGCCTCTTCCAAACATTACAAACATTATACAGTAATGAGTGTGTGTGTGTGTGGATGCTTATGAGAAAGATGAGAGGTTGGATTTCCCTAGCATGGTCAATATAAACTAACCCCTATTCCAGGGAGAGAAGGCAAAGTGATACACAATAGTTGTAGTGCGCATATCATAATTTTACAGAGTTTCAAGGGGACAATTCTATGAATCTTATAGACTTTGCAGCTACCACAAATTGACACCACACACATTTTATCATCTTTCCATGCATAACACAGATAATACTACGTACCATTCAAATTCAACAGTATGATAAGCCTTGTAGCAAAAAAGGGTTGGCAAATAAATCCCATTAAGAACAAAGCATCTGAGAAGCTATAATTATCATCATAATTATATATACTCGTATAAAATTGGCAAAAAATTTGTTGATCAAGCATAGAAGATCAGTAGAACACAACACAATAAAGGATCAAACACAGCAAATTTCTAGGGATAACAAGCCAAGCAGAATCGCAGAACAATCATGCAATTCAACCGCAAGAACATCAAAACAGAGCTTTATTCAGTCATAGGACATTTAGTTTGAAACTGGACATTGTTCAAACTAAATGTCCACTGCCACAGGACATTTAGTTTGAACAATGTCCAGTGGCCGAACAATTTATTGCCTCTTAGACTTTGCAGCTACCACAAATTGACACCGAACACATTTTTATCATCTTTCCATGCATAACACAAATAATACCATTCGAAATCAACAGTATGATAAGCTTCTTCGTAGCAAAAAAGTGTTGGCAAATAAATCCC